TTTTTGTATTGAATGAGATACGTTTTTTTTTCAAATTTAGCAGCCATGCCTCAACTTTATTCAAACAATTTGCAAAGCAAACTTTTTATATTCAAATTTACATTCTCATGTGTCTGACTATTAAGCTAAAACTCACTTAGTTACCTAAATAGTACCTATATGAAGCATGCTATAGTTAGTCTTTTAAATCCACACTATCGATTCAGTTACCTAAACCCTCCTGTGCTTCAGATGGTTCCAACAACCCAAAAAAAAAAAATTGTTACTATCTAAAAGCTCTAAAGCTAACTAACAAAGAAAACCTTGCCTTAAGTTAAAAACTTTGTTAAGCAGTAACATAATAGAACAGGCTATATAAAAAAAAGAAACAAAGAAAAACAAAGTGCCCTTTAATCTGAACTAGGTTCAAAAATATTAAGTTAGCAGACTTATAACCTATCTCAAATTATTCTCTCTCTAACATTATAATTCATTCTTATTTCCTCATAATAGTATATTAATAGTATGTCTGTATCTTCTCATATACCTTTGGAACTAGTTTCAATAAAACAAGCAAAACAAAACATGTATTTCCACATGTTTGTTTTCTGTTTTGTTTATTTTTATAGTTATGCACTCAACGGAGTACATCTAAAAATAGATATAATAAATAATGCTGATCTTTTATAGGGAGGAACCTAAATTTTCCACTTTTGTCAATATTGGTAAAAGGCTAGTGAGAAAAAGCTTGCAGTATATAGTTGTTTTTTAAGACTTTAAGAAGTGTATAGACAAAATATTTGGTTGTTCTCCTGCTTCTTAAGCTTTCTTTTACTAACTTTGTCTTAAAAGTTCTTTACTAAAATTTTTTATATAAGGGCTCCACCTCCTGCTAGTTATCTTATATAATATCGCTTTTAGCTTGTATACAGAATATACAAAGAAGTCTCTAAGAAGAAGTAGAATACTAGTTGACCTTTGTAAAAACTATTGTTGTAAAAGAGTCTTCTTTATCATACTATAACAAAATTTTTGTTTTTTGCTTTTTTAGTTTTTTAGGAAAAAAGATCGTCAGAAAGAGTTATTAAATGAGATAAGTAAATTAATTTATTTTGTTAGTAATTATATTTATTATTAGTTTAGATAAACTATTTCTATCTAGGAATATGCTAAGGTATCTAATTGTTTTATCTGATTTATATAGTAGAATAGGTTAGTTTTTGAAGATTATAGGTTAGTTGAGTAAAGTATTATTAGATTAGGAGTTTTTAGTTTTGGATTTAGAGATATGAAGAAGATCTGATTTTAAAGGATTAATTAATATTGTTTAGTTGATAAAGATCTGTAACATTTTGAAGAATTTCTTGAAGATCCTCTTTAAATTCACAGTACTAGACTGTATTATCAATAAATATAAGAGGAGGTATTGTAATAGATATAGTATAGGATAAGAAAATTTTCTCTAGTAGTGAATTAGTTTTGATTTTAGAGAATTTAGATTTGTATTTGTTGTTGATCTAGCTGAGTATAGAATTATAGTAGATTTTCTATAAGAGTGGAGAGAAAGTTTTATTTTGTTCAATATCTGAGTGAAGAGTAATAAAGTCAGTAAGTCTATATGCAGTAATTGTTCTGGTTTTTCTGTCTTGGTATAGAAATTAGATAAAGTTTAGAGTATTTTAAGGGATGCCTATTCTTTTACAAGTATTAATAAGGTATTTGATATTGATTTTGTTAAAGGCCTTAAATATGTCTTGAAACAAAATCATACCTCTTTATTATTTGCTTTGTAGTACTTAATAGTATTAAAAAGAATTTGAATTAGTGTATATGTTGAGGTATTTTTTGTTGCTATAAAATTAAGATCGCTTAGTAGATAGTATTTGTTTATAATTTAATAAAGATGAGTAGTAAAGATTTTGATTAAGCATTTTTTTATTGGTTCAATTAAGAATATTAGTTGAACTTAGTTGAGAGTGAAATTCTAGGAGAATTTTTTTAGAATTAAAAAGAGATTTGATATTTTCTATTCTGTTGGAGTACTTTGTAAAAGAAAACATTTTGAGAGAAAGAAGCAGATAATGTTTTGACCTTAGGAGTTTAGCATTTTAATATATTCATAATTTGCTTTAGATAGTCCTGTAGCTTTGTTGTTTAGGAGTTCTTTTAGTATATTTGTCTATTCTTTAGGTATAATTTCAGATAAAAGGATATAAAAAAAATGTTTATTTTCAGAATATAGTTTGTAAATATCAAAAAAGGATAAATTTGAATCTATTAGAGAGTAAAGAAGTTTTTGAAAGTATTTAAAAAAGTATTTACTAAGAGCTGTTTTAACTTCTGCTAATTAAAAAGTTAAATTATTGTTAGATAAAAAATGATCTAGTTTAATACTATTGTTAGATTTTTCAAGAGTTTTACAGAAGAAAAGTTTTGAGTTTTGAGTAAAGTTTTTATTCCTTTCATGAGTTTGTTTTGAATTTCTAGAAGGTTTAGTTCTTTTTTTCTTTTTGTATAAGAATTTTTAGGTTTTTGATTTCACTTTTAAAGAGTATTAGAATAGTATTTTGATTTGGGTTTGCTTCTAGAAAAAGTTGATATGATATAGATAGAAGAGTATTATTTGAGTATTTTTTAGTATAAAAATTATAAAGTAAGATAATATCTGAGTTTGTAGAGAGATTTTTTATTAAGGTTATATTTTTTAGTTGTTTGTAAAGAGGTGATAAGGTAGGCTTTATGCAATTATTTGAATCTAAATTTGTTTTGATTTTTTTAAATAGAATATGTTTAAGTACTATTTTGTTAATATATTTTTTGATTTAGTATCATATATTGTTTAGATTATTGGTATTTGAGATTTTATTTATAGAAATAAGGAGTTTTGTTCTATATGTTGTTAGTATTTTTTTAATTTTTGTTGCTTAAGTAGAGTTCTATTTGAAGATAGTCTTTATATAGAAGTTTAGTATAAGGAGTTTGTTGATGATAATTGTTGTTTCAAAAGTAATAGTTAAGTAGTCTGAGTTTGAAAATAGATTTGGAAGAATGTCTGCATAGTCTAGAAGAGTTGTATGAATGTTTGTTCAATTTGGTCAATTCTACTAGACTATTATTATATGAATATATAAATTTTATAGTAGTAGGGTAAAATAGACAAAAAGTATAATATAAGTTATGATATTTAAGAATTTGGAGAAGTTGATTTTCTGAAGTACTATATTTTTTAGTTAGAAGTCTATTTAGTTTAGAGTTTAGTATACTATTTAGATCTCCATAATTATGATTTTGTAGTTTGTTAATTTGATAATTAGGATAAGATAGATGAGGATTTTTTTTTATAGTTGTTTCTTTTGCTATATTAGAAAATAAATTTGGTAAGTTTAATATAGTTGTTTTTGAAATAGAGATTTATTTTGAGAATGAAGTTTTTAAAGATTTGAATTTTTCTAATATGTTTAGCAAGTTGGTTTTTAGTTATAATTCTGACATCTTCTTGCCTATATCTACAAGATACCAGAATTTTTAATAATTAGTAAGTTCTTTTGATATTGTTGAGAATTTTGATTTTTTTGAGTTGAGATGAGTTTTTGAGATACCAAAAATATCTATTTGATTTTCTGTAATATAATTAATTAAACTTAGTTGTTTATAATTTTCTAGAAGGCTATTTGTGTTAAGAGAATAGATTTTTAGTGAAAAAGCTTGTGTTTTATCATTTATAGTAGAGATAGTTATAGCTTGAGTATTTGTATATTTGGAAGTATAATTCTGTTGTAAGAAGATCTCTGAATCAATATAAGGAGATCTAAGCATTATACAAATAAGTAAGTTATAGAATTTATAAAATTTATTTAGTGTTAGTAAATAGTAGTTTGGTAAGATAGATTCATTTATATTGTAATAAATGTGAATTTCTGTTTGAAAAGTATCAATAGATATTTTGAATATTTGAGAGAATAAAAAGTTTTGTAAATAGTTTAAAACAGCACCTAAAGTTTTATTTTGGCTGAGTAGTAGTAGATTGTTGGAGAATAGAAACAAATTGTAGTAGAAAATATTTTTAGCATGAGATGAAGTATTAGTTGCTTAAGAGTAAAGTATTTCTTCTATAGAATCATTTGTCATATACTCAGTTTTTATAGTTGTACAAGAGTTCAAAGCCTGTTCTGTATATTGGTTCTAGCTGTCATAAAATTAGACTTCTATATACCTATTGAAAACATAATTAATCAATACTCAAATTATCTAAACTTCAAAAAACAATTATATAACAAGAATATATTATATTTTAACTAACTAACTAACTATAGCTGAAAACAATATACTCCTTGAATAGAAACATATCTTACTAAGAATTCAACAACTTTCTATAGGCAGAAAATCTACTTGATTCATCTACTTAAAAGATACAATTTTAACTCATAGATATAGTAGAGAAATATTAAACTCTATACAACTTAAAGCTTCTAATCTATTTTTTTTTACTACAAGATACTTTAATACTATATTCAAAAAGCTATAGCTCATTACTTATCACAACAACAAATCTTCTAACCAAATATCTATTACTCACTGACAAGCAGATTATGATCCAACCACTACAAAATATTATCCTTTACAACAAATAAACTGCAAACTATATCTAGAATATAAACTAAACTCAATTAGAATTACAAATTGCTATATAATAACTATATTATCATATGGGTCTGATGTAACAACCTGTGCATCACTTTTAGACTATTTAAAGTGTTTTGTGTAATTTCTTGCTTACTAATTCTACCTTTTTTTTAGAAATATCACATAGTACTCTTATAGTCAAAGATCCTGAAGCCTAATGATTAATAAACCTTTTGTATATTGCAAACACAGAAAAAAATACTTCAAAGTGGATTCATCACATTGATCAGTATAGAGAAGAAAAGAACATTGAAAAAACATTAGACCAGTTTAATAATAAGCAAGAACTTGATATATTTTTAGGTTCTTTTATTGGTTGGCTTACGAAAAAAGATGGTATGCCCTTCAAAGTTGAATCTGTTTATAATTGCTATGCTGCTTTGGCAAGATATCTTCATGAAAACTCTACTATTGAAGGTGGTGTCAGAATTTGGGATAAGTATTCTTTTTCTAAAGCATTATGATGTTTGGATGGAAAAATGAAATCTTTACAAAATGAAGGTTATAGTGAAACATCAAAAAGTGATTCTCTAACATCAGATAAGATTATATCTTGTCTTAATAATGATTATCTATCAATTGACAATAATGAGGGTTTAATTAGAAGAGTTTTTTTTCTAGTTGTCATTGCTTTGTGGTTTAAGAGGAGAAGATATGTATAGGTTAGAATATCGTGATCTTAAAAGACGGAATAATAGTGGTCTTCAATCAAGATTTCACAAAGAGAAAAACAATCAAGATGAGGTTCTATATCAACAGCATTATAGTCATACTAGAACACGGTTTATCCCAATTCCATCTAATAATATTAATAATCAATTTACACCTGTTAAAGATCTTCTTCTTTATTTATCAAAATGTTTATTAAATTGTGAAGCTAGTGCTTTATTTTTGCAGTGCATTAGAAAACAAGCAAGCAATTATGGATTTTAATTATTTATTAAATATTTTGACTAATCATAATTTTGTATTTATTTTTATTTTTATTTTTTTAGAAATAAGAAATGGTGTCTGGTATAAAGAAACACAAATAGGTAAAAACAAGCTAAAGTTGATGATACAACAGATCGTAATTAACACGAGAATAAATCTTGGTAGAAGAAAAATAACAAACCATAGTGCTCAACGTACTGCAATAACAATCCTAAAGGCATTTGATTTTCCTGAAGATAAAACTATGATTTTTTCAAGGCATCGTTCTAGAGAAGGGGTTCGGGCATATTGTAGTCCAACAGATGATCAACATTTATCATCTACGGCACTACTAATTCCCTATACAGCCTATAATGAAGATCTAGAATCATATTATTCTTTTCCAGAAGATTCTTATGTTGATTATGAATCTGAGGATAATGAAGAAACGGGTTAGCATTTAATTAAAGAAAAACAATATTAAAAATTTAAATTTTACTTATCTTTTAGATGTTCTAGTAATGGCAGTTCCAAGTACACCTAATTCAAGTCAAAACTCTACCTCACCCAAACTAAGCTAAGCTATCTTATCTAGGAATTCTGATATTAATTTATTCTATTTAAATTTTTTTTTATATATTTAATAATTTTTATTAAATTTTTTTTTCTTTTTAAATTTTTCTAGATAATACAAAAAAAAAAAAAAAAAATAATCCTGAAGTTGAATTCAAGTCCTATACCTGTAGGACCATTCAAAAGTCCTACGATGATTCATAAGAAACAGTTTCTTCCCTACTAACCCAAAGAAATATTGCAAGTAAAAAAGGTTTGACCTTCCCACCAACCCCAAGAAAGTTCATATGTAGAGAATATGTGACCTTTCTACTAACCCCAAGAAATAATTGATTTAGAGAAGGTACAACATTCTCACCAACTACAAGAAATAATTGATTGAAAGAAGGTGTAACCTTCCTACCAACCCCAAGAAATATTGGATGTAGAGAAGGTGCAACCTTCCCACCAACCCCAAGTTAATAATTAGGAATAAAAGGCGCTGCAACCAATAACGAATAATATTATTATTCAAATCCCTGATACCGATAAGCCACTTGACATTAATTTGAAGATTTCCTTCAAAAATTGATTTTTTTTTATTATTTAAAATGTAAATTTAAATTCTGTATGCTATTTTTACATAAAAAATATTAACTTGCTAAATTGTAAAAAAAAAAAAAAAAAAAATTCTAAAATGAACCTTCACTCTAGTTAATTACAATTTTAAAGTACCCGACCTATTTATATCTTCACCCTAGTCTATTACAATTTTAAAATAACTAGCTTATTTTATGTCTTCACCTAGTTTATTACAATTTTAAAGTTTCTAGCTATTATATATCTTCACCTAGTCTATTATAATTTAAAGTGCCTTGCTATTTTATATCTTCAAGTCTATTACAATTTCAAAATGCCTGACCTATTTATATCTTTACTCTAGTCTATTACAATTTTAAAATGCCCAGCCTATTTTATGTCTTCACTCAGTCTATTACAATTTTAAAAGTACCTAACGCTTTATTTATTTATTACATAATTTTAGCAAAAACTGAATTCAGTTTTTGCTATGATAAAAAATAACTAAATTCACACTAGTCTATATGAAAATCATGTGTCACATGATTTTCATTATAGACTGGTATAAATAAGCTTTCAAAAAAAGCACAGGTTGTTACATAAGACCCATACGATAAATATCTCTACTTCACTATTAATAAAATTCTTGAGTAAAAAAACTAAAAATGATTTTTTCAACTAATTAAACCTTAATATGAACTATATTAATTTAATATTTTCTACTTAGTATTCCTCTACTATCTATAATTTTACTCTCTAATACTCTAATTTTTTTTATTTTTAAAAAAAATATATTATCATTACAACTCATACAAATTGCTAATGCTAATATTAACTCTAACAACTTAGGTTCTATACTGATAGTTCTGTAAAAGATATTACTATAAACTAATACTTATCTAGTATTAGTAAATACTAGTTAACAATAACAATAATATTATATATTTTTATTCAGCACAGATCTAATACTAGTAGTACTATATATATTGTAATATAGTAACTAGGCTTAACAATTTTATAGATTCAAAAAGAAGTTGTCATCACTAGTTAAATCTAGTAACTAATTACTTGACTTAACGAGTTTGAGAGTTAAAAAATGAGTTTATAAAGTTTATAGATAATAATTATTTATAATAAGAAGATAATATTAATTTAGAAACAATAATATTTGGTTTTGGTTTATAATTTAAATAGTTTATTAATAAATAGTTTTATAAAAGAATAGATGTAAAGAAGATAGAAGAATATTCAAAAAAGATATAGGATAAAATATAAAATAATAAAAGATAAAAGATAAAAGATATAAAATATAAGAAAGAAGATAGAAGATAAAAGAAAAAGTTAGACATTACAAGCTAACTTATAAGAATAATAGTTAAAGAAATAGTTAAACGTTAGAAGCTAACTAAGAAAGAAAAGATTTGTTTTAAAAGATAATTTTTAGAAACTAAAATAAACTATTATTTTAGAAGAAAGAATATAAGTTAAGAAACTTATATTAAAGAAAAAGAAGAGAGGAGAAACTTATATAAAGAAAAGAAAAAAGTTAGAAACTTTTAATTAAGAAAAAAAAGAAAAGGGAGTTAAGAACTTATAATTAAGAAAAGAAAAGAAGATCTGAACTTATCCTGTCTTAGTAGAAATAGCAGAGTTTATATAGCTTTTTAGATATTATAGAATGAGAACCTAAACTTGAGAACCTTGGTATAGGAACCTAGTTTAGAAACCTAATTTTGGGAATCTTGCTATAGAAACCTACTATAGGAACCTAATTATAGAGACCTAATTATGGAAACCTAGGTTGGGAACCTTAGATTAGGAATCTAAAATAGGAATCTCAGATAAAAACCTCAAGTTAGATACCTTAGATTAGGAACTCCTAGATAAAAACCTCAAAATAAGATCCTTCAGATTAGCACCTAACATTATACAAACTCTAAAAAAGTGTTTGTTTAAATTAAAGAGTTTGGTACAAGTAGGTTATACTGAGTTACACAAAGTTACACAGAGTTACACAAGGTGTTCTGCAGCTTATTATTATACAAAAAACTTCTAAATAGTTTAAAATTAATAGAAAAATATTATACTAATAAAATATAATTAATAGAATTTAAATAATAAAATTTAACTACTAAAAATTCATATTATAATAATATGAACTGCTAAATTGATAATTTTTTTTTTTTAAAGTGAGGTTTTGCTTTTATCTTTATTAATAAACTTGTTAGAAGAACTACATAGAGTTACTTAGAGTTACAAATTTAGATGCAAGAATAAAGCTCAAACTATAGATAGAAAAACTAACTAATTTATTTGCAACCTAGTCTTACTAGAATAGTTAAAACTCATTTAGATTTGGATATTTAGAATATAATTAGTTGGAGTACTGTATTTGATTCATATGGAGAACCAAATGTTGATTTTATAAAGAGCAAGTCCTTTAGAAGAACAGAAGTTAGAGTTTTTATATTATTGGTTAGAAAAACTACAGATGTAGTTAAATATAAATTGTGTTCAAGAGCGTAGTGATAGGTTTTGAGAGGTAGAAGTAGAAGTTTGAGAGGTTGGATATCAAAGAATCTGGTGTATGTTTTTCTATTTAGAGAAATTAAGGCAATATAGTTTCCAAGCTTATTCATATAAGTTATTAGATAGCTTGAGTAGTAGTTTAATAGTTATGTTTTGATGCTATTTTGTAAGAGTTGAAGTATGAGTTTATAGTATCAGTTAAAGCTTTACAAACAAAGCCTTGTAATATAGAAAAGATGTTAGTTTGGTTAGAGAGAGTATTAGAAGAAATGATAAGTAAGTATGTTGAAGGAGTTGTTGTTAGAGTTAGATTATTTTGTAAGATTGTAAATCTAATAGAGAAGAAGTGATAATCTGTTCAATAGTTTGTAGTAGAATATGAGAGATAGGTATAGTATTAGAGCAAGTAATCTAAAGAAAGCTGTGTTCATAGAAGTTATATGAGATGCAATTGTTAGTAGGGTATAGATAAGGATATAGGTTATAGAGATTAGGAATAGAAGAGAGAGAATTTAGGAGGTTTTTTATATGAAATAATTTTGTCTGACAAGTTTAAAAGTCTGTATAATTATGAGTTTATTTGTGATTGCTATTAAGAAAAAGCTATATAGCATTCCAATTAATCTGATGAGAAATTGGTATAATATAATCCATTTGGTTCTAAGATAACTACATGGCAATAATGTAGGTATTGCAAATATTTTTAATAGAGCAGCGAGTAGATTGTTTGATATAGAGGTTGTTGTATTAAAGAGAGTATGATAGGTTGTATAGATTATTCTATTTGAAGTCTAAGTAATCAAGAGATATATTATTTTTAGCAAGAAAGTCAGCAAGGTTGTTAAAAGTGTTGTCATGGTATGCAGGGACTTTGTAAAATATAATATTTAGAGAGAAGGATTTAATCAAATTGAATAAAGTGTGCTAGATAGACCAATAGTTATAAGAATATGTTTTGTTAGGTTTAGAAGGTATGTAGTAATTTTGGTATATTTGGATATAATAGATTAAGAGTTAGTATAAATATAGATATTGCTATTTCATGAACAAGTACTGATTGCTGATAGAATTGTAATTAGTTTAGCTTTGTAGAAGGAGAGCAGTTTTTTATAGGAGCTGAGAAAGTATAGACTATTGAGTCATTTGATGTTTGTACCTAACTAATACTTATAGAGTAGTAGTCAGTAGTAATATTAGATACTGATCTATCAGTATAGAAAGTGAAGTTGGAGAAGGATTGGTTATTAGATACAAATTGTTCAAGTTTGTGAGAAGCTGAGTTTGAGTAGAAAATAGTATAAATAGAACTTTGTGAAATTATAATTGAAGGTAGGGGAGGTAGGTTAGTTAGATTTTTAAGGGCAATTTAGTATAGTAAGTCGAGATAGTAGGCATTTAGCTTTAGTTTGTTGGGTGTATTGTCATATATTTTTCTAACAAGAAACTTAGTAGAAAGAGTAGCAAAGATATTAAAAGTGCAGTAGTTTGCAATTCATAAAGAGTTTAAGTTACATCTAGAATATTAGTAACAAGAGATTAATGGAATAAGGTAGAGAAAAATTATAGAAGAGTCAATATTTGTCTGCCAGTATGTTATAGAAATAGTATTAGTAGAATAATTGAAATGACATGCTTTTCCAATAATAATGTCATTATCATTGTATGTAAGAAGCCAAGGAGATAGTTTGTTTATAAAATAACTAGTAGAGAGAGAAAGAGAATTGATATCTAAAAGTGTTATCTGATTAGAAATTACTTGAGTTAATAGGTTAGTGAGAATAGTATTTTTAAGTATAGAAAACTATTTTGGTTTTCTGCCAGTAGGCAGATATTTAATACATGTGGAGATATGAGTCCAGTCAAGAAGTGTTGTATTGTCAGAGGATATAAGCTATTTAAGAAACATTATTTTTTTTGTATG